CTCATGATACATTTAAAATGTTTAAACCCATGCCTGGCATGGAGTAAGTCATCAACAAATGTTAATTGGCTACCCTGTTTGTGTCATTTAAATCACTGTAGCAAGTTGGTAGCCTACATACTACAAATTTTCATGCTAGGTTGCTTCCAAATCAGTTACTGTAAAATTCTAAAGTCCCTGCAAATTTTTCAATACAAAAAAAAATTTTGTTTTGAAATTGATCAGAAGCATTAAACAGTAAGCATAATTTTGAATCTGGTTTAGCCAATGAAATCAACAGTTAAAATGAAATGATATAAGATCAGATATAAACAGACTATTGTCTGGAGCATTTCACAAGCTTAAGAATATTGTGGACATTTAAAAGATCAGGATGTTTTCACTCTGCTAAATGAGAACACAAGTTGTTTTCATGTTGTGGTAAAATGTTCCTCCCTTTGGTCACATGAAGCCATTCATCTTATTTGAACTCTAGTCTTTTCCTCTTTCTATATTGTTTTTGGAAGCAATCAGTGCAATTAATTCAAAAGTGCATGCACATGCATGCACGCGTGCACACACACACACACACACACACACACACACACCCATCTTTGGATGTACCATGTAACATGGTACTTCCTTTTTACTGAGGATTAATTTTTAAAATCATTTTTAGAAACAGATAGGATATAAAATATTTTTAATGAAATCTTATGCTGTACATAAATTCATGGTGTCTTTTCTTTGAAATCCCCAAAACAGAGCACTTCTAATAGTTCTCTACTGAACTTTTCTCAGACGCAAGGATGGAAGTCTGTAAATGCTATGACAGGACTAGAGAAGCTTTCTGAGAATGTAGGAATAATAAACTCAGTTTCTCTTATACTCTCACTCAACAATCAACACAGAAGACTTCTGTGACTAAACATGTGGGGTTTTTTCCCACCTATCAAACAAGCAATCTGCAGTGGGCAACAACTGGGTATCTTCTAAGTCAGTTCAACCCCAACACTACCTGGAGATCAGATCCCACAGGTTGAGGGCTCAGTCCCACAAGACTGCTCCCCACCAACATCAGATACCAATCACAAACCCCAGGTTGTTTTACCTGTGCTTCTGACTGAACAACTATAAATAGGGGTTCCCACAAACCCCTCCTTGAGCTCAATTAATTTGCTAGAGCAGTTCACAGAATTCAGTGGAACATTTATGTTTATTTTATTATAAAGGATATTACAAAAGATACTGATGAACACCAGATAAAGAGTTGGATAGGGCAAGGTATGGAGAAGGCGTGCAAAGATTTCATGCCTTCCCTGGGTGCGCCACTCTCGAGGAACCTACACATGTTCAGCTATCCAGAAGCTCCCTAACCCAGTCCATTTGGGTTTTTATGGAAGCTTCCTTACCTAGGCATGATTGATTAGATCATTGGTCATTGGTAATCAACTCAACCTTCAGCCACTCTTCCTTCCCTGGAGGCTGGGGGGTGAGGCTAAAAGTCCCATCCCTCTAATTATGCCTTGGTCTTTCCAGTGACCAGACCCCATCCTGAAGCTACCTAGGGATGACAGTCATCAGTCAACTGATTAGCACACAAGAAGAAAACTACCACTTTGAAGATTCCAAGGATTTTAGGAGTTGTATTTCAGGAAACAGGGACAAAGGCCAAATACATATTTCACAATATCACAAGCATTCATAGGAGGAAATATTCATAAGACCAGGAATGATTCAGGAAGAAAGAAGAAATAAGTATAAAAAGTTACTCTACCAATGTCCACCTCATAGGGAGGAAAAAGCTAGTTATTGTCAAGACTTGTGAAGGGTCTGAGATTTTATTCTCCTTGGAAACTAAAAAATTAGCCTGCCATAGTTTCTTGGATGACAGTAGGAGACATGAGACTCCTGGGTCAGAGACAAAAGAAAGTTTACTACTCACAGCAATAGCAGTATTCACAGTATCCACATCTTTGTATCTGTTCCTAGAGGGTCAATTTCCATAGAGAGAAGCAAAGAGGGTCAGAAAGCACCTGTACACCCAGTGGGAACCTTGAGCTTATGGGATATGTACCTTTAGTAAGGAGCAGTAAACATGCTTGCCCTTTGCTCTGGAAAGAAGCATTATTATACTGGACAGTAAACGTGCCTGCCTTTTGCTACAAGGGGAGACATTGTCTCTATCTTCCAAGGCTGTTTACTACACAAATATCCTTTAACATGCAGTCTGGAAGAAAGCTAGGTCAGTGCCTGACTCACAAAATGTGTAGAAACATTAAAGACCCGTGGATAATTGTCTCCCAGCAGTTATGAATAAATAAACTGTTCTATGTCGTCCCTTTGAGTGCTCAGAATGCAAGTATTTGTCCTACACCAGTTTCAACTATTTCTAAAAAAAAAAGTCATACAACCCAGAGGCTAATGAGAATATGAGAAAGAAAGGAAACTATTTCTCAGTGTAAAGGAACGAGACTAACTACTGCCAGTGAGAATGGTTGCTCTTTTCATATTAAAGATGACAGGCACTCTATTATGGCTGATGTAAGAAAACTAGCTGAAGAAAACAGCCACCAAGAGGTCTTATCTTGGTAAATATTCATTAAATGAGTTAATAGAGCCTGTAGTTTCCCAGGCTCTTTTAAAAGAGAAAAATCTTATGATGGTTCTGCAGTCTTTAACTCTAGAAAAACAATTAAAATATTCAATTCTGAGGGAATTTATTCTTCTTAAAATGTTGATAGGTATGACAAAGGAAATAGTTCTACAATCAAATGAAGTTAGAGAAATGCTGGGTAAAGCAAAGTTAAACAAGCATTTTTAATGTGGGACTTTTCAGAGCTCTAAGCATGTTGTTATGCCTTGTGAATCTCCAAGAAGATTATAGTATTCTCCCAATGAATTTGACCACAGATTCCATTTTCCAAGATATATCAAGTGGTAGAGTTCAACAGAGAGCTGCTTAGAAATGCCTCTCTAGGGCCAGCCTGTGGCTCACTCGGGAGAGTGCGATGCTGATAACACCAAGGCCATGGGTTCGGATCCCATATAGGGATGGCCGGCTAGCTCACTAGCTGAGCCTGGTGCTGACAACACCAAGCCAAGGGTTAAGATCCCCTTACCAGTCATCTTTTTAAAAAAAAAAAAAAAAAGAAAAAAGAAATGCCTCTCTAGAGGAATGGCTCTCTCACTGGCAATGGATGGTGGAAGATAAAGGTGCCTTGAGAAGATGGTGGCTGACTAGCCTACCTTTCTCTAGACAGATTTCCCATAGAGAGTAGCCAGCAATGAAAGCCTTCATGCTTCCTTGACTAATTGCTAGTGATTATATCCATTACTGACTGAAATCTAGTGAGGATATGTGTCATTTTTAAGATCTGTGTGTAAAATTTAGCACTGAACAAGCCCTAAGAAATCATCTATCATGATCCCTTCATCTTCACGTGAGGACACAGGATACAAAAATATTAAGACACTTGTCTCAAGTCACAAAGTTAGTCAACAAAAGAGTCACAACTGGAATCCAGGTCTCATTAATCCCAGTTTGTGTTCTTTTCACTAATAGCAGTAAAAGTGACCATTAATAATCACTATCATTGATACTGAGAAAGCTACCCAGGCTTTCTCATTGTTACTATTCTTTCTCCTAAAGAGACAAAACACATGAGTGAATTCAGGAAATTAAGAAATGAACTCCAGAAAGTCTCAAGAAAATGCATCATATGTCAGTGTGGGTGGTGGCTTCAATGGAGAGAATATCTGGGCATGGCTATAGCATTTTCTAAATATAAAAAGCACTGTCCATGATAATTTACCAAAGAGAGAGTCATGTTTATGTGAGGAATAAGAACATCTTCAATTTCACTACCCAGATAAGCTTTCTTGAGCCATGGAGCTTCATGTCTCAGAGAGCAGCTTCTCAGTCAAAAAAAAAAAAAGAAACAATTCCATGAGCTTAAAATTGGGTGTTTTGTCAGGGCTAATGCCACTGAAACTTGAAGCAGTTCAATGTTAAGCAGTAATCTGAGAGGTTCTATGGTACATTGTATATGCAAAACCAGACATGGTGTTGGGGCAAGACTGAAAAATTTGAGTTCTGGGAAAAATATGTTACCTACCTTAGAAAGTATTTATTAATTTTATTTTTTTAATAAATAAGAAGGTTCTAAACCATTTAAGTGTTTCATTGTCTTCAGAATAATTCACTTCAAGGAGAGCACCTGTCATTCGTGGATTTAATTAATGAGTTAATCCATGTAAAGTTCTTAGAACAACAGTTGTAGATGCTTAATAAATAATAGCATGCAACTATTACTTAGTAATGTAATTACAGCAGTGATTTTTAAGTGCCAAAAAAAGTCACTCCTGAGAATGTTAAACTAATTTTTTATTTTAAACTTACCGTATACATTTGTATAGGAAAAAACTACAGTTTTCTCTCTACTCTGCTACTCACACCTACATTTCCAGCCACCAAAGTATGTGTTTTTCCCCACAACAAATCAATTAAATTCTTCAGCAGACCCCAACTACATATCTTATAATTTAACTCAATTCTGACACTCTTTACCTGGAGATAGCCTCAGACCCCACAAGTTAAGGGTTCAGTCCCACAAGTCTGCTCTCCTGCCACCCCCCAACTATAGACACCAATCACAAGTGGTAGGTTCCCAGGTTACCCACTACTTCTATTAGACTTGGCTACAAATCAGATGTTCCCATGACCTCCCTCTCAGGTTCAATCATTTGCTAGAATAGCCCATTTGCTAGAACAGAACTCAGGAAAAATTTACTCTATAGATTTCTGGTTTATTACAAAGATTTAGTGGTGTTTAAGCATGAGAACTCTGAAATTAGACTTGCTTAGGTCCAAATCCTAACTCTTCCACTCATTCGTCATGTGATCTTTGGACTTTGATCCAAAGTTTTATAGTATCCTATTTTTAGGTCCTTGGCACCTATCTTCTCTGGTACAAATTCGACTGCAATTTTAGGGTCAAAAACACATTTGACCATATTACCTTGGAGGGGCAGAGAGAGGGTGATCTCTTTCCTCACCATCATAAAGATCATGGTTGATACCCCTATAACAAAAGACAGGTTAATGACAGAAAAGCACAGCAAATTTATCTGATAATAGTTTTATGTGACACAGGAGCCTTTGGAACGAAGACTTGAAGGTGCAGGGGAAGCTATCTGACTTCATGCTTTCGTTTGATGAAGCAGGGACAGCTGTGTAGAAATGTGATTGGACATAAAGGGTATGAGCTAATGGAAATAGACTGAGTGGGGAAACCTAGTAAGACCTGTCCAGATTCTTCCTGGATTCTCTTTTGTAGCATTTCTTTCTCTTAGGTATGGGGCAAGACCCCTCTGGAATGAGGGTCTTAATTTCTTTTCGGCCAGTTGTTACACAGAAAGGTGGGGGGAAGGTTAGAGTAATATTTTTAGGCTTTATGGCTGGTTTTGGGGCAAAGGGGTTCTGGTTTCTATGACCCGCCTTGGGGAAGAGGGATTCTAGTTTCCATGGCCTGCCTCAGGAGACAATGGGGGGGGGGAGACAGGAGAGCAGGAGAAGGTCAGAGAGAAACTTTGCTTCTGGGGCCTTCATTTTGGGGTATCATTTTCTGAGCCCCAACATCCTACTCAAAGGATGTTTTCTATGGAAGGTTTTATTCTCCCTGTCTTAGCATTTTTAATGGCATAGAGTAAAGGATTTTAAAAACTGTTGCTAAAGGTGGATTTTATCTTGCAGCTATTAATTCAGAAAGTGCTAATGGTTGCAATAGTGTTAACAGCTGAAACTTAAAACAACAATGTTTTCTGTTAACTCAGTTCCTTGCCACAAAGCTCAGAAATGGTGTGGGGAGCAGATGTGCACAGGGTGGATAGAGAATGCAGGGTAAAATCCTGCTGGTGGTTTTGGTTTAGAATTTAGATTTTACTTTCACTATTACCAGCCAGAATCAACTGACATCAAATATGAAACAAAACAATAGCAAGTTGGTCTTAAAGAACAATCCCACCATTGAAAAAACAAGATTTAAGCAGACACATATACATAATACATCATTTTATTATAAATTCTTAATGAACTAAAGGGTTCAGGTTTTACAGCATGTAGTATAATACAAATTATACTGAAAGTCAGAACCAGTATAAGAAATTGAAACATTTTAAAATTCATGCTTTCAACATTTAATACCAGGTCACATACTAGGTGTTCATGACGGATAAAGATGAATAAAGACACAGTCTCTGCCCTGGAAACGCTCACAGACTCAGTAGTGAAGCAGACATGTAAAGAGATAAATGACACAATACATACCATGGTAAGTACTGAAATAGAGGTTCTAACACTAAATGCTGTAGGGGCACAAGAAAGGGAGAAATTACACTTTCATAGAAACTGCAGAGGCTTCACAGAGCAGGTGATTTTCGAATTATGCTTTCAAGGAATGATACACCCCAACCTGAGTTTTCTTGAAGGTAACAAAACAACAGTGTAACATAATTACCATTTCCATACAACCTACTGGAGGGATTGCAGATATTATCTCACCACAATCCTAAAAAGTAGCTATGTTCCAACATACAGATGAGGAAAATGAAGTTCAAAGATTTAGAAGCTAAGGGCCACATAACTACTAACACAACAGTTGAGCCCAGATCTGTATAACTCCAAATCTCTTATGATGGCCCTACACTGCCTAGAAATATCTACTACTGCTCCCTATTGCCAACCATACATGGTTAACTTGTATCTGTGTGGAGTCTGAGTGTGAAAACTCACTCTGGAAGCCCATCTGGAATGTCAAAACTTGGACTAAAGAATTGGGTACAAAGTGAAAGGCCAAGATGGAGATTGTATACCCAGTTGACCTGGCCCACAGTGCCCTCTCCTTTCCTTGAATTTCAATCACATTTAGTTTGAAATGGTTTATTCTGGTTCATGTGTATGCCAGATCTCCTCTCCCATGAAATGTAAACACATTAAAGTCAGGGAATAAGCCTTATATGTATTTGAAACCCTTAGGGCCCAGCACTCACACAGTTGACTATTGATTGCCGATTCACCCCGTGTTTTACAGAGAGCTTGATAAGTGTGGATGCTGATTTGAGTTAGGTTGCGTGAGGTGAGATGATCAGACTTAAGGTTTAAATGCTATAAAATAAGAAAATGTGAATTAATCAGTATAGCATAGTGGTTTTTAGACTACTAACTCTCAAACTTTAATATGTATATGAATCATTGGCCTACATGCATGGAACTGTGCAGTTTACCCTATTAGAAGACAGGCAGAGTAGACAAAAGTATTGCAATAAAGCAACTCAGAGGGAGACTCAGTCTGAGTCTGGGGATCCATACTGCTGGGGACTTATATCCTGTGTTTCCAAACCTTGTTGCTGTTCCTGGTTCTTTTGCTTTCAGGGCATGAAGAGTGGTAAGTACAATAACAACTATCATTTATCAAATACATATAAAGTGCTTGTCACTGTTTTTGGTGCTTTAAGCATGTTATCCAATTCTCACAGCACTCTGTAGTGCTCTGCCTGTTTACCAATGATGAGGAGTGGGGTTGCTAAGAAGGAGCAGTAACTTCCCTAAGTTTAAACAGGAAGAGCAGGAATTTAATCCTGGTCCACCCGAGTCCAAAGTATAGGGTCCAATGGTTCCTTGACACTTGGTAGCCATGCAGCATTTTAGGGATGCCTCAGCTTGTGGTCAAGGTGCCAGTGGTACAAGGATAGAAGTACACTCAGAAAGCACCTGCAGGACTAGGCCTTCCACAGGAGGTTTGTGCCCTTAGTCCTTGCCTCACTGAGTATTTAAGTCCAGGTTGGATATTTAAGAGCTGGAGCTACCTCAGAGAGAATTTCTGCGTCTCCCTGGCCGTTTACAAGGTACTTGTTTTTTTTGTTTGTTTGTTTTGTTTGTTTGTTTTTTTAGCATATTGCTAAAGTGAGCCTCTGCCTTTTTCCCAGAGACTCTCTAGGAAATCTTTCCACCTGCTAAGAGGAAAGCCCCACCCAAGATTTTTGTCTCAATGTAGGTTAATTAAGGCTGTTGTTAGTCATCTTCTAAGGCCTAAAAGGATTTAAGGTTGACTTCTGGGAAGGACACACAGCAACAGCACTGGAATTGGAAATAATGGAGTATTTTGCTGGAGCAGGGAAAACAAACAGTTAAAGCCCAAGAGAACAACTTTTGGACAATCTTCTTTTCATTTTGGCTTGGAAATAGAAATGGGGTGAAAGGAGATAACTACTTTCTGAAGGTTTGCTGTGTAAGAACCGAGCAACTGGTAAATGACTACTGGATGTCTATTAATTTCTCTACTCACATACATCTGTCTTTTCCAGATTGTCAAACCAGAACAATAGTTTAACTTTTGGTGCTCTTGGAAGAGCTGGCTTGATAAGGCATTCCCAGAAAACTCTATGAGTGAGTGATCTTGTCTGTACAATTTTTTACCGGCCAGAAAATTTTCCATACAGAATGCTGCCAGCTTTCAAGAAGTCAGAGTTTGCTTTTTCATCCTGAAATTGGGTGGGCAACGAGGGGAAGAAAAGCAAAGTTTAGATCAATAAATGAGGGAGAACCCCTTCCCATGCGCTTTAAACAACAGGTGGTTTTGCTGTGCACCAGCTCCTTTATGCACTGCACGAACTGTAGGCGGAGCATTTAAACTGGGTGTCCCTGGAACGTGCTGCTTAGAGATGAGGGAGCCCGTCTGACAGCGTTCGTCGGGGAACATGGGGATTCCTGCCGGAGAAGAGACTCGGTTGTCAAGGGGCTCGAGGTCCAGGGATTTGGGTTTTGCCTTCATCCTTCTCCGCCTCCCTCAGTGCATCCCCCCCGTCCTCTCCCGCCCTTCTGTTATAACGCGGTGGGGTTATCTCCATCCTGAGCCGGGTCTTCCGAGGAGCTCCCAGAGGGGCTACTTTTAGTGGTGGCTGTCCCCCTCCTCACTTACCCGGGGGAGGAACTGCGGGAGCGAAGTCGACGCTGCACGCACAGAAGCTTCGAGTTTTCCGCTCCTTGTTAGGGATGAGGGGGGGTGGAGGTCGTAGTAGACGCAGCCGACTCCCGGGACACAGACTGCCCGGTGGGCGTCCCGGGGGCGGGAGTGGCCCGGTCGCGAAGCGCCGGGAGGATTTTTTTTCCCCTCGTCCTCAAGAAAAGCCCCCCGCGGTCGGCGGCAGCCTTCGCTGGCCAGTCCCAGGCGCGGGGTGGTCTCAGCAGGGGAGGAAGTTCCCGGGCGCCGCGGCCTGCGTCACAGCGGGGCTGGCACCGCGGAGTCGGCTCGGCGAGCGGCTGCGGCGACCCCGGGCCCGGGCGCTGGGCGGCGCT